TATTTAAATTTATTTTGAAAATTACAAATAAAATTACAAAATAAAGTGTCTTTCCCTATCTTAAATCTAAACAACGTCATATATATATAATATATATATATATATATATATATATATATATATATATATATATATATATATATATATATATATATATATACTGTCTAGGTGAAGTAGGGGCGATTTGTTGCTATACAAATAATTTCATTATACACAGTATCATAAGAACATATTATATTAAAAATTTTTATACACAGTGTTATATTCTTTTGTTTTTAAGTATAGAAAAACATGAAACTAAAATAAAAATATTGTCGAATGTTATGTCAACATCCTAAACTCAGCATATTATCTTAATGACAAATGCTAGGGATATTTGAATTTTAGTAGAACTTAGTCGTATTTTTTTTTTTATAAAAGTGAAGGTGATACACTATCATGCAGTCTACCTAACGGCACGCGTGTGTTGTAGCTCTTAGTCACCTATAACGTTATTTGATTGGAAAACTAAATGCACATGTGTACTGTTACCCCTGAGAACTAAGACGGAATGCCCATAAAATAGGTGCAACGGCGCTGCTATTTCACGCTGGTATTCTGTGACAGTGTGGTCCTTCCACGGCCAAGACTTCGTGTTACAGCTAAAGTACAGTTGCCGCGTGGCTCTACCTAAAATATATGTGTAATACAATAAATGTAGCTTACAAAATTCATAGATAACTAAAATTATATTATTTAAATAAAATTGCTCAAACTCTGATTTGTTGGTTGTTTTATGAACAGTTTTGGTTAAAAACTAGCACAACATGCACACGTTATTATACGTGGTAGAGCTATGTTTCATATGGTGAGTGTAGAGAACCGGAGACCCCTTTTACTGGAAATGAAGCATTCCATCTTAGTCCTCAAGGGTGACAACGCTTCTGCATTTTGACTGATTGAAGATAGATGTAAATGTCTATGGGCAACAGCATCCACTTACCATCAGGTGGAAGTACAGGTCTGTCACCAATATTCTATAAAAAATAAAACACGGTCCACCTAAAAGTGAGTGGATGTTGTGGCACTTAGACATCTGTAACTATTCTCCATTAAGAAAAAAAATGCGTGAATGTCGTGGAACACTCGGTTGGAACGAAGTTACTTACGTAGTATATTATTATTGATAAACGTAGGTATTATATTATTGATAAACAAATACAAATAAATTAATTACTAGCGTCTATTAAAATGAAACGTCATTTGGAATAAAATAATATTTCTTTCATGGCAAAATAAGAAAAAATGCGAGGGAGATGGATATTATCCATTTCACTTCCTTATTTCGCTGCCAAGGCCGTCTACACTATGACACAGGGGGTAGTGACGAAAAAATCTTACACTTTTTGTCGCCTAGCTCCCATCCGCCAAACCCGTACCGTCCGATAAGGAACTTCGTTCTAACAAGACTGTCAAATACAGGACTAAGATGTAAATAGGTCGAGCCGATCCATTATATAGTACAGTTGCTTTGTAACTCTACAATGCAAATTCTAACATGTTATCCGTAATAGTAGTACAAATTGATGGTCCGCAAACATCCCAAGTGATAGAGTTGTAATGGTATAAAAATGTATTACCCCTTTCCATCCCGTGGGTGCGTTTAAAGGTCACGAAGATGTTATAACATTGGATAGATTGCGACTCCGATGGGAAGTAATATCAAGACATCCTATGACGAATACATATTGTAAGAAACTATTCCACTTCTCATGTTATAAATGAATATCAAAAGTATTTAAATAACAGAACACTACTCGGTAACAAACCCTGCTTACTATCAGGACCCCAATTACATGATAACACCAAAGTATGCTAACCAACAGCATCACTACCCGTCTCAATGTTACACAGGGTAGCCTCTCAGCAACACGATCTTCCTTGCTTACACTAGTAGAATACCCCAACGTCATAGTAACGACAATCAAACTCTAGAATTACCTACTGATCGCTCTAAGTCGCCTGCCACGATACTTTATACTGCTAGTACAGGTAGGAGATTAACGTTCTACCTTCATTTGTTCGTATTTCTTTTTATTTTTTTAGCATCTTTCCTAACAATATATATATTACACGAACATGAATATGAGTGTAAGAACAGGTGTAGGGTAGACTGGGTACGGTAGAAACATTTTAGCGTTTATCGTCCATTGCATCTAGATTAGTTAAGCGAGCGATGACTGAAATATATTAATTAAAATACCATATATCTGTTTTCTAATAGGCAATGTTATTTGAGATCAGTGTATTGTATTTTGTGTGTAAAATCAAATTTAAAAAGAAAATTAATATGTTTCAACCGTCCCCCTGCCAGGGTCGGTTGAAACAGTGCCTGGGGTCAATTGAAACTTACAAATAATACAAAATGTAATTAATGAACATGTTTAATTCATCGTCTAATAACATTTTAGAACTCGTAATTGTACAGTTGAACATCACAAATATTTTTTTATTAATATTAAAGTCTTTCACGATACTTATAATCTAACATTATATTTAATCAAGCAGTTGGAATTTTTGACGTGGTAATTGTGGCACGAATGGTTCGCTCGACCGGGGAACTGTTCATGATTTTTTCTCATAAATATGATAAATCACTTTTCACCAGCCATTTCGTTGTCATCTCAAGTCCGAGGTTAGTATATAGCATTCTTTTTAGTTTGGCCAAAACATATTCCTATTTAAAGACTCGATTGTGAGTCTTATATCCCATTTATTGATTTTCATCGCCACCAGTCGTATCTCGTTTATACCTCAACAGGGAACAATGGTTCAGCCTATTATTTTCTGCCGCTGTTCTTAACGAAGATCCGGCTTCTACATCTTCATAGGCTTGTTTGTACGTTGATATGACCTCTCTGGATGATCTGACCTCTCGTAGTCTTCCTTTGGCGTACACTTAACAACAAGAATATTAAATAAATAAACTGTTTCAACCGTACCCACAAAAAATGTTTCAACTGTCCCCAACCCCCCTTCTAGTTATAAAACGGTTCACAGTAAGAATAACAATAAATTTGAATAAAAACTAATCATACAGCCATATTCTACAAACTTCAAATAAAACGATACAACACTCTGAATCCTCTAACTTTAATAAAACCATAATAATTTCAAAAAATGTACGAACAGAAAATACTTACTTTTCCGTCAAAAAATACAATGGGGCCTCCAAGCACCTACATAAGCACAGCGCGCGAAGAGCGACGCAACACTAAAATTCATGTTTCGAATTGTCTCCCGCTTCGTTCTCATATTGGCTTTGTTTCAACGGTCCACCGTTTCAACCGTACCCAGTCTACCCTACTCTTCATTACTCACTCTCATAGTCCGATGGGTCTGCCATTTGACATGATCGTAGAGAGAACTAAAGCAAGACCAACGCCTTTACAAGCATTCCGAGCACGAGGTTGAATCAGTATATTTCCTCTTATTAAACGTTTTATGTGACATCAAACAGCAATTTTTATATTTAAATAAAACTAGTTTTTACGGATTTTATCGCGTATATTAACTTATTTTATATTCTCGACGTTTCGACCACTTTACAATACCCATGGTCACAGGAGGGACTGAGTTATTTGACGTCCCAAAATCATAATAAACAACGGCCACCTCCAGATAAAAATTAATATAAAATAATAATATCTACGCGATCATATCCGTAAAAACTACTTTTATTTGAATGTGCAGTATACGTGTATCATTAAACAATTTTTATAGACTATGAGTGACAAACGAGTACACAGTTCACCTGGTGGTAAGTGGATGCTGTGGCCCATAGACATCTACGTCTATCATCGATTAAAAATCAAAATGTAGACGTGTCGTCATGCCTGCAGACTAAGATAGAATGCCTCGTATCCAGTAAAACATGTCTCCAGTTCTCTACACTTACCATACGAAACTCAGCAGCATTAAGCGGCTGTTTTAGTATGTTGTTCTGCAAGAGGGTTGTTCTTCCACGGTCGAGCCGACCCATTCATGCTGCAACCATAATAGCTACATCGTGACTCCACCACGTGCATCGTCATAGTTTTCTTTATTATATTACAGCTATCTTTTAGTTTAATTAGTTTTTTTTTTTATAGAATAAGCATGACAAGCGAGCACACAGCCTACTTAATTGCAAGTGAATGCTGTGGTTCATAGACATCTATATCTATCCTCGATTAAGAATCGAAATGTACATGCATTGTCTGCATGTTTTTTACTGGAAAAGAGGCATTCCATCTTACGGGTGACAACGCATCTGCATTTTGATTTGCAAACGAGGATAGATGTAGATGTCCATGGGCACTTACCATCAGGTGGACTGTGTGCTCGTTTGTCACCATGTCCTATAAAAAAAAAGCTCGTATTCAGTAAAGAGTATTTTCTGCACTCACCATACGAAACACAGCAGCATTGGGCTGCTATTCCGTGAGAGCGTGGTGCTTCCCCGGTCGAGCCGACCCAATTGTACTACTACCATAATGTAGCTGCAACTTGGCTCTACCACGTAAGAAAGGTTCAAAAAAGACTATCATGATAAATACAAAATCAACTTACACAACTAAAGCACTAAAATTCATAGAACTATCTCACTTTCTATGGCTAACAATATAACTAGGTGCATTAATAAAACAAAACTCGGACATATATAGTCAAAAATCAAAAAAATCAATCCCATTACGTGAAATTGCATCGATAGCTTCACTTCGTGACACGTACTCGACAGAGCCATCCATTACTTATTAAGTTGTGGTATACACAATCCACTCCAAATAAAAGCAGCAGTGTTGTACTCATTAGCGAAAGTACTGCATTCCGTAATGATAGGTGTGGTGTCGTGGTGCGAGGGACCTATCACTGAATTGAAAGGCACAGAGCACATTTCACCAAGTATAAAACGCAAGTGAGGGCCGAAGAGTGCATCAGTCGTTACCACGAAGTCAACAACTCCATCTAAACCCGCCAACATGATCGCCTTCGTAAGTCACTTATTATTTATTTGTAGCGTTGACGTAATCGAAACGGAAGTCGTAAGGAATGTCGGATTTTGGAACTCATTTTGTGCAATTTAACTCATTTCTGTTCCGCGTTCCAAATTTGAAACACTTTCATCAGTTTTTCTTTTTATCGTATTGTATTTCGAATTATTAGAGCCAGAAAATATAGAACGACTTAAAATTATAATTATAAAAAGTTTATGTAATTAATCAAAATTGGCAATTTATTTGTGTTCATTTACCACACAGTTACAACCTGGATTTAAAATTATAAAAAAAATATTTTAACATGAAAATGAAACATAAAATTAATGTGTTACATAAACTTTGATTACTTCTATAGTGAAAGGAAGCGGAAATATTTGCTCTGATATCATTTCAAACCTGTTCTCTTCGCTATATTGTTTTGTTTGCTTGCTCGTTAAAACGCTGGTCCCGTTATCTTATAGTAGCAATAATCATAGACAACTTTGACCGCTTGTTAATCTTGGTGTTTTCGGCTTATCTTCCCTACATATTATGGTCTCAACTTTTTTTAAATATTTTTTTATTTTTATTTTTTCTTTTATTTCTATATTAAAGAAAAGAAAAAAAGTTAAATTGCAGCCTACAACTCTAACGTCCTGTCAATTCTAAACAATTAATACGGTCCTGAAGTGCGTGTTAACGACTTCATATGTCCTCCAAATATTTTAGACATAGGTTACCTCACGATGTTTTTCTTCACCTCAGAGCTTCATTGATTACCACTAGCGATTTTTCCGGGCCGATACGACTTAGGAACCTTCAAGAAAAGAGCCTACTCTTTTTAAAAGGCCGGCAACGGATCTGAAATTTCCGTAGTATTGCTGTTGTTGTTGCAAAAAAACATGACGTCTCAACGTTTAAAAGTTTAACTATAATTGCAAATATTTCAATAGAACAATCGATGTTAATTCCCGATAACTTCAGAATTTTAATAACACTAGGAGTTTGTCAATCAAGGAGCCTCTGCTCTGATTTTACATTTTCTAAGAAAAAAGACAATCAAAAATGTGGGTGGATTCCCTCTTTTATATTTCTACCGCCATGAAGTACTTCTACTTCTGTGTTCCGAACGGAAGAGTATAGAAACATCTTAGACCTCAGAATGACAACGGTTGAAACTTTCTTTGTTTTAAGTTGTATGCAGGATAGGCTGTAAGTTCACTTACCACTTCCATTTTATAAAAAAAAAACAAGCGAGACATAACCTTTGTTTTTCAGAAAGCAACAACCATCCTTCTCCTCGCAGCCGTTGCCAGCGCGCGGCCCTCCGATGAATGGGAGCCCGAAGGCCACTCGCACTCGGAGCACACCAAGCCATACCACGTAACAGTGGTGAAGAAGATCGGAGTGCCCATACCTCATCCAGTCGCGGTGTCGGTGCCGCAGTACGTGAAGATACCCATTCCTCATCCCTACCCCGTTCACGTCACTGTTGAACAGCCGATCCACGTACCTGTATACAAGGTATGCTTTATCGACTCACGATTATTACTACAGAACTGTTTACTCTTTGTCTATGGTTAAAATGAAACTCTTTATTATCTCTCTTTCTTTCATGTTATACCGTACCGTACGGTGGTGGTGTAACATCGAGTGTGTGAATCTCCAAATTTGTCCTTTATGTGTCATAAGAAGCGAGGAAAATGATATTCGCGTTAGAACCACGCTGCTGCTATATTATGGTTGTGCATTGGTTGCACGAACGTGTTGGCTCGATCGGGAAAGAATCACGCTCTTATTGTTAAAAAAAAAAACATTTTATTTTAGTCCTTGGGTATGATAACAGATCTACATTTTTAATTTTTAATCCAGAAGTATTGGCCACTTATCATCAGGCGAACTGTGTGCTCGTTTAGCACCCTCTACAAAAAATTCTCAACCCTTACCCGTACGTAGACCCTTCTTACTGGTAACAAGGCATTGTATATTAGACTTCAGGGGTGACAACGCATCTGATTTCTGATTTCTAATCGAGAATAATACAACACCCACTTACCATTAAGCGGACTATGTGTTAATTCGTCACCCATGTTTGAATAAAAATTTAATGTACCTATATGGTATTGCTTAGGGCTCAGCGTTCATTATTCTATATGAATTGCATTACTTATTCAAGTATTATCCCAGTATTCATAGAAAATTTCTAGTCCATGTTTTTATGCTCCATAAATTGTGGCATTGTTTGAATTTGAACTCGATATTATCACTGTTTTTTTTTTTAATTATTATTCATCAAAGAAGCAAGAGATATATAGCATAAATAAAAGAATACACATTTTCAAACTACAAAAAGCTTACTCCACAAATGGCGTGTAGCATTCGATAAAGAGAAACTAAACATTTTTTTTATCAAACAATAACGGCGTGAGACTCGCCTCTATTATGTCACACCTATTGTATTTTTGTGCGGTTTTTTTTGCACAGGTTAATTTTTTGTAATCGGTGACATAAGTGTTCCATTCATGTCAGTGCGCTGATTATTATTACGCAATCAATGTAACTGGCCGCGATGAAAGTAAAAGTGACGGTCAGTCGAGTGTGTTTAAAAAAAATGCATCTTAATAAACCACGCATTGACTAAACGTCTTTATAAAGGATAATTTCTTCTTTTTTTTTTTGATACTGGCAAAAGTGCAACCTTACGAGACATTAACCAAAGAAGTTTCTAAACTATGTAAAAAAGTGATTAACGAAATAAATAGCAAGCCACCCATAATAAGTGCAGCCCATGGTCATCTACGTCCTACCAAGCAGCTACCAAAACTAAGATACAATTCAAAATCCAAAATGTTTAACTCTTATTATGTGCCGCGTGTTCGAATCTCGAACGGAAGAAGTATTTGTGTGGCGTACAAATAATTATTCCGGATCTGAATGTTTATCCTTGTGCAATTTATGTATGTAATACTCTGCCTCCACCATACAGGAGAAAATCCTATTTTGTGGGTAACGGTTTTTTTAAGAACGAGAGAGAGAGAAAATTATTGATCAATTAATCGGAATTAGCACCGCAGAATTAAAAAGTTTTCTATGTGCATAAGTTTTCACACTATATTTTTTATTTTCACAGGTTGTACCTCAAGTAGTAGAGAAACCAGTGCCTTACACAGTCGAAAAGCCTGTGCCTTACGAAGTCGAAAAGCCCTACCCAGTTGAGGTCGAGAAAAAGGTTGAGGTCCCGATCCCCAAGCCTTACCCTGTCCACGTTCCCGTCTACAAGCACGTCTACCACTACAAGGGCGGCAAACATTAAGCAGAGCGAGAAATAGCTTATATTATAGGCCCTTTCGCTTTTAAAATCATTCATTGGCTTGATTGTTGCCACTCTACTTAATTGTAAATACGATTGTGCGTAATATACTACTTAGATGGAAATAGTATTACTATTTCCCAGTTTGTTATTGTGATATTTATTGTGTGTTAATATCAATGTTTTGTTGTTTGTTGCTTGTTGTTTGGTTGTATTGTTGTTGACTATTGTGTAATTATTGTTGTTTATTTTTAAAAAACATTACAGTATTTTAAGATTTATTGATGTTGTATGTTAATTCCTATTCCTCCTATAAAGTTTTTAAGGTTCATTTACTCCGCCTGTGATGACATATGGATCTGAGAAGTGGTCCTTCTCTGCTACCCGTATGAGGAAGCTCATGGTCACTCAGCGAGTTATTGAGTGGGCTTTACTCGAGCTTTCTCTGCGTGATAGGCTTAGAAATGAGCATATCTACAGTAGAACCTGAGTAGCCGACAAGCCCAACGGAATAGTAAGCTGAAGTGGCATTGGGTCGGCCATATAGCTCGAAATACCGAAAACCGATGGAAAAAAAGGTTTTCGAGTGGTAACCTCATACCAAAGTGTAGGGGCTCTCGGCTCATAGAGCGGCTAGGGTCGTTCGCGCGCCGTGCCGAGTGTTGAATTATTTTAATTTTTCATTATCTCTTAAACTATGCGTTCAAATAACATGCTATAAAGAGTAAAGTTTATCTTAATAAAATTATCTTAATGAAGAAGTAACTTTCCTTCGTAAGCAGTAATAAGCCATGTCTAATAACAACGCTCATTAATTACTTTTTTAATTTTCTGTATAATAAATAGGCATATGGTATCAGAATTTTTTTTAGATATAGAAAAGATCAATATTTTGTAGAACATTTTATTTACGTATCACTAACCATCACGCCAGCGCATGCGTATAAAGCAACTCGGGAGCACTTTTTCTTTCGACCTGCTTAACAAAAATCTATTTTTAAGGCTAGCTAAGAAGTGTAGCTAGTCTATACTATTGCTCATAATTCTGGCTATCAGATAAAAAATATTTTTTTATATGATATATATTATTGCTTTCAGAGATTATCGCTTTTAAACAAACAAATAAACAAAAACTCTTCTGCTTTAATATATATTATCATATATATTATCAAACCTAATGTAATGGCGGGGGCCGTCTAGGATATGATCACAAACTGCAGACTTCCCGGAACTTTGGTCAACTATGTGTTCTTTTACGCGGGTTTTAATTGATCGTTTTGTTTGCCCTATATATGAGAGACCACACTCACAATCAAGCTTGTACACTCATGCATCTTGACTGACTAATCTTCTTCAGCGGCTTGAAGAATGTTCTAATAGAAGATCGATTCAAGATGTAGCCAATCTTGCCTGTGACACCTCTGACATATGGTAGTACAGTTACAGCAGGCACACGCTCGACTGTGGCCGGCTTCACTCGGTCACTGTGACGCAGGCGCGGGACCCGAAGCTTACTGTCGTACAGAACCTGCTTGACGTGCTGTGTCAAGGTGTTAAATTCGGGAAAACTATGATATTGGGACGTCAAACACCTCAGTACATCCCCCCCACCCCCGTGACCATGAGTGCTGTAAAGCACCCGAAACGTCGGGAATTAAAAAGTTAAATTAAACGCGATAGAATCCGTAAAAATTAGTTTCATTTAATGTGTATTGTCTTTGCGTAAATATAAGAAATCATTGGTGAAAGTATTACGAAAGGATTGTAAAGGTTTAGAAAATGTTATATTATAACTTTTTTCATTTGCATAAAATTGTCATCATCATCATTTCCCAATAAGCGATTTTAGGTCCGATCTAGGATTCGAACGTAGGAAAAACCATCAATAAGATCGCAAGCAAAAATATACTTTGCTTACAAAATTTCTTTGTAAACAATGTCATTCGTTGCTCCGTTTGTAGCTAAAATATATAAATTATCTGGGTTAGTTAACGTAACGTTAAACGTTAGTTAGAGAGCAAGCGACGTACAGTTTGACCGTGTGAGAAACCCCGTATAAAAATCGTTGTTTCTTAAAACTTTAATAACTTTATATTAAATGAAAATATCGCAATATATTTTTTTTAAACAAGGGTCAAGTGTCTAAGAAATAAAACTTAGAAAACCTAATTGAAATCTATCCAGTAGTTTCTCCGTGATGCGCGCACAACTGCAAACCTCTATCATTTTATTTATATAGAAGACTAGCTGTTCCCTGCGACTTCGCCCGCGTGTAATTTAGGGTTTTAATTTTTTTGTGCGGAACCCTAATTGTTTTTTTTTTAAATAATCAAAAAAAAAATTTTCAAAATCTTTAGATTGATGCCCCTAAATAGTAATTAACTTCTTAAGTTATAACCCTATTAAAACAACTTTTCATTGATTAACGCAAAACATCAAAATTAGATTATACTTACTTAACTTATTATAAATCATTTAGATTTTTAAGAGTTTAATACTTGTGTTATTCAGCGTAAAATCTTTTATATCGGACATATTTAGCGTTGGATTCACTTGACTCGACCACTTTCACTGTCGCGGTCAAGGCTCGGGTCGATGACTTGATGTCAGATTGCAATTCACGATTACACCGTGACCAATGCTGCTTATTGTATCAAGATATTAAATTTTGTCTATACAATTGGTAATGTATAGCGTGTTTCGTTACAAATGTTTACTTGTACTATCGCGAGCAGGTGTCAACGTACAACTGTGACATTTAAGGCTGCGTTCGCATTTCAAACATAAGTTACAATGTTGTAGGTCGCTAATTAAAATGATTATGTCTAAATTGATAAATATGTTCATTTGTGTATTTATAATAGAACGCTTTTAGTTAAATATTTAGTCTTCCTTTTAAACGGTTAACGGTGGCTTATAAATAAAAATAATTACACAGTGCAAAATTTGGAGAAAATTGATTTAAATTAAGTAAAATATGGCTAAATTCTACACTTTTAATAAACACAGCGCAATCAAGCACAGATTAACGTATTCACACTAAAAATACGCATTTTGAACAATGTCAAGTGACAGATCTGGAAGGGGGGGGGGGGAGTCAGGGCGTCGAACCATATCTCACGACATCTCACCACGGGGAGGTGGAGGGAAGAAAAATCGCCAAAATCGCCTCGCGTAGTTATTGAACACCCCCTAACGAATAGAATAGAATAATTTTTATTCAATATAGATTACAAATTACAAGATTACTAATTGAAAGTAAGTTATGCTTTTGACACAGGTTCGGAATAAACCTCTGTCCTGAGAAGTATCAGCGAGAATCCCAGCGGGACTGTTTTTTTTAAACATATATATTATGCATTTATCATAACTTTTTTTTTTCTGAATGTGTACGCTGTTGGCCCTGCGGCCTTGACAGCTTCATCTGATTAGACTCGTAAGTGAGGACTTACGAACTATCGAGTGCAACGATGCTGGCGGCGGCGAGGCGGCGCGAAGCGCTGCTTCGCCGACTGCAGTCCCGCCGCACCCTGACCCCTGCTTTCGAAGTGAGGCTTCTCGAGCTAGGGGGGGCTCGATGCGATTCAAGGGCCCCTCAGAAGGAGGTACGAACCTCGGCTTGAATCACTATCGCTATTTTGTTAACGGGTCGCAAAAGTTAGAAACGCCCCGTATCACGGGTGTTAAACCTCGTGTACGGGGTGTGTCTGTGACGACGCATTCGCCAGCGAATGCAATGTACCGTAGTGTTCTATACTAGAGTGATGTCTGAATGTGTGTGAGTGTTTATAATTGCTAAACTAGTTCCGTCTCCTGTGGCTGGGGGGGACGGGATCGACCTATTCATGGAAGTGATCTCGTCATCGGGATCAAGAAGAACGTTCTTGGGACGTCTCCTGTATCCCTCAGTGGGGAGTACGAGCCCGCCTCATTCACCAACGGATTTTCGTGTTCCTTTATCGAATCGAAATATCTTAAGGATAGTTCCTTAAGATACGTGTGTATAGTGGGCATATCGAGGTCGCGGTGAAGAGCCGCGTTCCTCACATAGAAGGGAGCTCTTGTGATTTGACGCAAGAATTTATTTTGAACAACTTGAAGTTGTTGTAGGCTCATTTAGGAAACGTGAGCAAAGGACACGCCTGTGTATGTCACAATAGGACGTACGCAGGTTTTATAGAGATGCAATTTGTGTCTTAGGGACAGCTTACTGCTTTTATTGGTTAAGGCGAAAAGACGATACACCACGATACACCTTATTCCTAACTGTTGTAATGTGCTGAGAGAAGCTTATTGCACAATCTAAGGTCACCCCAAGGTATTTCACCTCTCGGACCCACGGAATTGGGCTGTCATAGAGGGAGATCGTACCGTTATTATATTTTTTAATATATGCCATTAATCTGTTATAAGCAAACCTTCTGTTAAAAAAGATGGCTTTGCTCTTATCGGGGTTCAGTTCGATTCTCCATTTTCTGCACCAATCGCCTAATGCGTCTGCTGCAGCTTGGAGTCGACCGCAGATTCTAACAGGGTGGACATCTGAGGAATAGATGGTAGTATCATCTGCATATAGTGCGAGATGAGTACGTGGTATAACTTAGATATCACTTACGTAGAGTGAGTATAGGGTCGGGGCGAGCACAGAGCCTTGGGGAACTCCTGCTCTGATGGTTCTGGATTCACGCGAAAACGAAAGAATCTGTTTGCAAGAAAATCTTGAACGATTTTGACAAGTCTCAAGGGCACACCTATATGGATAAGTTTGAAAACTAGTCCATTTTGCCAGACTTTGTCGAAGGCCTTGGCCACATCGAAGAACAAGGTTCCTGTGTAAACAATGCGCTTGTTCGCCTTTGCGGCCTGATCTAAAATGTGCTTCGTGAGGCGGTGCACCTGTTGAACACTAGAGTGTTTGGCTCGAAAGCCAAACTGCTCGTTAGGAATTAGATTTTTACTTAGCACTGCATCCTTCAGACGGCTAAGGACGGTGCGCTCATAGA